CGCGAGTTCTTCAAGGAGAACGAGATTCTGGATCTCAACACTGTCCGGGGGGTGGACCACGGTATGTGCTGTTGTTGTTGTTGTGGGTGTTGTTGTTGGTGTTGTTGTTGTCACTGTCCGGGGGGTGGACCACGGTATGTGCTGTTGTTTGTTGGTGTTGTTGTGGGTGTTGTTGTTGTTGTGGGTGTTAGTGTTGTTGTGGGTGTTGTTGTTGTTGTCACTGTCAGGGGGGTGGACCACGGTATGTTGTTGTTGTTGGTGTTGTGGTTGTTGTTGGTGTCACTGTCCGGGGGGTGGACCACGGTATGTGTTGTTGTTGATGTTGTTGTTGTTGTGGGTGTTGTTGTTGTTGTGGATGTTGTTATTATTGTTGTTATTAAAGTTAGTGGTGATGATGTTGTGGTTGTTATTGTTGTTGTTGCTGTTGTTGAAGTTATTGGTGAAGATGTTGGTACTGTTGTTGTTTTGTCGTGGCGGTGATGGTGGTGATGTCTGTGAGTGAATGCGCTCAAATATATGTGTGCTCTCTCTCTCTCTCTCCCTTTCTTTCTCTCTCTCTCTCTCCCTTTCTTTCTCCCTCTCTCTCTCTTCCTCTCTCTCTCTCCTTTTCTCTCATACAAACAATTGCTGTCTCTACACGCACACACACTCACACACACATACACACACACGCACACACGCACACACACACACACTCATACACACACACACGCACACGCACACGCACACACACACACACACACACACACACACACACACATACATAGACATACAGACATCTTCTTCTTCTTCTTCTTCTTCTTCTTCTTCTTCTTCTTTTCCCAATCCTCCTCCTCCTCCTCCTCATGAATGAAAGAGTATGTACCCAGCCCCCCACACTGACACCATTTATTTCTCCCTCCCACATACACAGATGGCGTTGAGTTCAGAGGTATTCATCCACCATTCCTTACTTCCTTCCTTCCTTTTAAAAAATGTCCCTGTCCCTTAAATTCCGTACTCCCAAAGCCAGCTATTCAGGACTCATTTCCTTCTCTTCACAAGGTTTTTGTTTCAGTTTGTCCCAACTTTAGTTGTAGTTAACCTGAGAAATTCCCTTGTCAGTTCTGTAGAGATTAGAGATGTCTTTCGCATTTCCTCATTCCTTCTTCTAAATTGAAAAAAAAATAATTAAAAATTAACAGCTTTTCCAACATGTTTTGTATTTTTAACTTTTTTCCCCCACTTAACACTCTTTGAGTATATCTGAGAAATCTAACCGTAGATCTAACAGACGTTCTAGAAGGTAAACCAAGCAGAGGTGGACCAAGAATTACTTACTGCCAGAACGTATTTAAATTCCTCTTTATTCCCCCTTGATATTTTCTGCTTCATTCCTCTCTATTTACCTTTGACCTTCTGTGTTGGCTCCCTTTCCTTTATTCACGTCAATCATTCTGTTTCCTTCCTTGTTGTGTATTCACTTTTTTCTCTTTCTCTCCTTAAAGTTGTTCACTTTTGTTCCTGTTTCAATCCTCAAGATTTATTTACTTTTTGTCTGTGTCTGTCCTCAAGATTTATTCACTTTTTGTCTGTGTCTGTCCTCAAGATTTATTCACTTTTTGTCTGTGTCTGTCCTCAAAGTTTTTCACTTTTTGTCTGTGTCTGTCCTCAAGATTTATTCACTTTTTTCTGTTTCATTTCTAAAATTTGTCACTTTTTTTTCTGTGTCTGTCCTCGATTGTTCACTTTTTGCCTGTGCCTATCCTCAAATTTATCATTCACTTTTCCCTGTGTCTCTCCTCAAATTATTCACTTTTTCCCCGTGTCTGTCCTCAGATTATTCACTTTTTCCCTGTGTCTGTCCTCAGATTATTCACTTTTTCCCTTGTTTCAATCCTCAAGTTATTCACTTTTTCCCTGTGTCTGTCCTCAGATTATTCACTTTTTCCCTTGTTTCAATCCTCAAGTTATTCACTTTTTCCCTGTGTCTGTCCTCAGATTATTCACTTTTTCCCTTGTTTCAATCCTCAAGTTATTCACTTTTCCCCTTTGTCTGTCCTCAAGTTATTCACTTTTTCCCTTTGTCTGTCCTCAAGTTATTCACTTTTGACCTGTGTCATTCCTCTAAAATGAATCTCGTTTTTAATGTCTAGGTCCAGTGTTTTTAGACATAGCTTGAGTCGTTTTTCCTTGTTTCAGATACCTGGTAATACAAAAAAGACAATGAGCAGTTCAGATTCGGGTATTTAGCCTGTGAATAAATTTTCGTTTTGTAATGCAAATGTTACCAAAGTAGCGTCAGTTTCTGCAGTATGACATAACATGTTTCTTTGATGCTCTATTGTGACCATTAACAATTATTAACATGCTAGTTTTCACGCTGCGAACAGAGTGTTTCAGTTTCAGAGCCAGAAATAGCTAATTTTACTTTACACTAATCGTTGTTATGCTTCTTCGTTGTGTAAACAATCCTGACATATTTGTGGAGATAGAATTTCTACTACACAAAAGACAACGATATCAAATTTTGAAAGGCCTGTCACTTCATGTTAGATGCGAAGTTAGTGGCTAAGACAAATAGTTTAGCTCCTCCCACATGCTACAACACCTGTGCCTCAAACCACAAACCTTCTCGTGGGTGGTTGGCGGGTGCTCTGGTGTGGTTCGCTCCTTCTGTCCTACCAAACATCTATCATCCTGATCTCCCCTCCTTCTTTTTTGTGTTTGTTACTCTCTTGTAACACCTCTAATCTTTGGCACTTGTATGACTTTATTGTGTTGCAAGTGCTGTAAAACTCTCACTAAAACTAAACTAGGAGAACGATATCAAATTTTAAAAGGCCTATCACCTCATGTTAGTTGCTAAGTTGGTGGCTATAAAACAAATAGTTTGGCTTCTCAAGGGCTACAATATCTGTGCCTCAAACCATAAACCTTTGCGGTGGCTGTACAGAAGATAAAGTGTCTAACTACTGTACCATTGACGCCGGTCGAGATTTTGTGACCTGTCCACCCGTGTTGTCTGGATGTGAGGGAGGGGGGGGGGGGGA